TATTATTATTACTATTCTTATCTATAGTATTTTTAATATAAAAAATAGATAGATTATTAGTAATAATAGAGTTATATTATTAAACTAGAGGAACTATAATAATTATAATATCTTCTTTATTATTATATAGTAATTAAAATAAAATAATTAGCTAAATAAGAGTTATTAATATATAATAATTAGATAACTTATACTAGATAGAATCTAGAATAGATTAAAATTAAATTAATTAAAGTATTATTCTAAATAGTATAATTAGATTATTATAAACTATATAATATAAGTTACTATTAATATATAAGTATTATAAAGCTAGTAATAATAGATATATAGATAATTATAAAATTACTATTTTATTAATAACTATTTAAAAAGTATTTTATCTAGTAAAATAAATATATATATATACTAGGGGATTATTAATACTTAGTAATAATCTATTATTCTGAATTATTAGAATTATTATAAGATTCTAATAATCTACTAGTAATTAGTTAAAAAAGATAGAATATACTATATAAATTTAATATATAATAATATAATTTATAATATTTAATTACTAATAGCTAGTAGTTATAATTACTAGTAGCTAGTAGTAATAACTACTAATAGTACTTATAACTCTACTAACTTATAATAGCTATAGTTTTTTAAAATTAATACTTTCTCTTATTTATTTTAAAATATATCTAAAAGTACTTATCTAGAATAAAACTTATAAATTATTTTATTCTATTACTAGAAATTATTTTTCTTACTCTAATAGGTTTTCTATTTATAGATAGAGTAATTTACTCTCTATTAGTACTAGTATATATCTTCTTTAGAATATATATTTTATTTAGAAGTATTTATTAAATACTTATATTTTAAATTAGCTAATTTATATCTATTATTCTTAGATATATTTAGTTTAATATCTTTCTTATTATTTTATAGAGTAATTATTCCTTATAATTTCTTAAGTTATAATTATATAAGAGATAACTTCTAAATATTTTTTATTCTATAATAATAATTTTAATAATATTTAAAGAATAATAGAATATCTAAATCCTAAGATTTAGTATATTATTACTTTTAATAAAAATACTACCTATTATTTATAGGCTGTTTTTACTAACTATTTGAGTTTATAAGCAGCTGTAGGTTAATTATCCAGAAATAGACTAAAGGAGTGGTATACCTAGCTGAGGTATATACGCAGAGGTAAACCTCCTCAAAGGAGGCACTATCCCTCGCTACTGAACTCATTAAAGTTTTAACCTATTGCGCGATTAACCGCTATAGTCAGTAGGGGTGCTAGCCTTATCTAATACCACAGCAGTATTTTCCAGCAGTACTTTATATTATCTATATAAATAGAGGAGCTATATATTTAAACTATTTATAGTATTCTATAAGGTTACTATATAGTAAGAAGGTTAGTATAGAGTACTTTATATTATTTAAATATAGATTTTTTTTTTTTTTTTTTTAATTTTTACTATATATAAAGAATATTCTAAGATCAGGCTATATATAACTAGATCTATATAATTTATTTTTAACTAAGTTTTAATCTATATTTAATTTTTAATTCTATTTTTTTTTACTTTTTTATTTATATAAGCTAAGATAAGGCTGAAAGTATTCAATTTTAACTTTATCTTATAGTATTAAAGGTTCAGATATAGACTGCTAATTATATTCTTAAAAAAATTATATAATCTAGTTATATATTGCCTGATCTTGGGATATACCCTTATTTATAGTGAAACTAATAAAAAAAAAATAAAAAAAAAATAAGCTAAGATAAGATAATAACTTCTCTAAAAACTCTAAGAAGAGCTTACTAAGTATATAACTTAGCTATAAGTTCTAAGAGAGAATACTTATTATCTATAATTAACTATAATATCTCTTTAAGCTTATTATTACTATTACTAACTATCTCTTCTTATAATAATAATAAATACCTCTAATATTATTATCTCTTATAATTAGAACTTAATTATTATAAATAACTAGATCCTTATATATATAATAGTTATTATTAATAAGAACTATTAGAATCTCTTTTTAGATATTAATTATTTAAATCTATAATCTATTATAGATTTACTTATAGTAATAAAGCTACTCTCTCTTATATAGATCTAATAGTTATACCTATTAGAACTATTACTTTATCTTCTTATAGCTAGTAATAATATAGAGATAGATCTAATTATTAATATACTTATAGAGAACTATAATAATATTCCTCTAGTATTTAATTACTATTATAATCTAAATTACTATATATAGTTCTAGTAGATAATATACTAGATTAAGTTAATTTAGACTAAGATAGCTTTTTAAGTTTAATATCTATTTTAGTTAATAATATTAGGTAGAAGAGAATTAAATTAAATTAAATTAAATTATTAAAAAGTTTATTAGATTAAAAAGTTAAATTAAATAAAATTAATAAGATAGTATTTAGAATATAGTAGATTAGTTAATTATTATAATAGAATATTAATAAAGAAAAATATAATAGCTTATAAAGTTACTATATATTAATTAAAATATAAAATATAGTTTTATATAGTATAAATATAGATATATTATTAGGTATAATATAGATAGATATAAATAGATTACTTTAAGTAAATAAACTATATAGCTACTTTAAAATAATATCTATCTTACTAGTAGTCTAATTAAAAATAATTTTTAGTAAATTTTCCTAGATATAAATAAGCTAATAGCTCTTTTTAAATATATTAATAGAGTTAGATAATATAAAGTTTTATAGTACTTCTATAAGTATTTTATCTAAATATCTACTAGCTCTTATTCTTATAATAGAAGATTATAAGTTATTATATTAATTAGCTATTAATATTATTAAGTTCTATAATTCCTAATATTAATAATAGATAATAAAGATAATAAGCTTATTAAGTATATCTTCTCTTTACTCTAGTAAAGTATAATTAATTCTCTCTTTAAGTATTCTTAGCTAAAGTACTTAATTTATTAATAAATATTTTACCCTAAAGATATTATTAATAATTACTTTATTAATTAATAAGTTAAGAAGATAAAGTAATAAAGAAGGTATTATTATTATTAGGAATTTTAGTTTATTATAGTTTAGTTAATTATAAATAAAGCTATTATATTAATAACTTTAGAACTTATATATAGTTTTAATTCTATTTTACTTTATAAATAGCTTATTTTATATAATAAATTATTATACTAACTATTAACTATATCTTTTAAGGATTAATAAGATCTTAAAGCTAAATATATTAAATATTTTTATACTTTATCTCTATTATATTAATAAGCCTCTAGCTACTTACTTTAGCTAAAAGAATAATACTATAGAATATAACTTATACTCTAGATTATATAATATTGTATTTACTCTTAATTAAATTATTTATAGAAGTAATATAATACTCTCTTCTATTATCTCTCTTTTCTTAAATATTTACTTAAATATTAATTTAAGTATAATAATTAATATTAGAATTTCTATCTATAGATATTAATAACCTTACTATTATAATATTTAATAAGATAAATTTCTATTAGTTTAACTATATAGATAGCTTTATTCCTAATAGCTTTATATTAAAATAAATAAATAAATAACTAAATTATACCTTAGCTATTTTTATTCTTAATCCTCTTTAGCTATATTAATATATTATTAATAACTTTAACTAAAGCTATCTATATATTTTTAAAGAGTTACTATAAAGTATATTATAAATTATTAAGCTTATTCTTTAAAGCTAAGAATAGATTTCTAAGTAATAGATTATATTATAAAGTATTTAAGAAATATAATATAATAATCTATTATAGCCTTTTAACTAAGGGTAAAATTAATTTATATTATCTTTAGATTAAATTTAATAAAGTTAATAAACCTATCTAGAGTTTAATAACTTTTTATATATAAAATAGTAACTTTACTTATTTTTCTTATTCTTTTTATACTTTTTATCTTAATAATTTAATCTTTAAATAAATATATATAAAGATATTCTTTTCTACTTTCTCTTACTATTTTATTTTATTAATAAATCTCTTAATATATTTATTATCTAGCTTACTATTTAAAGAGCTAAAGTCTAGAGGGTTATTAGCTATAATACTTATAGAACTAGGGAATTAAGGTTATTATCTATATCTATAAAGATAAAACCCCTTAATAAAGCTATATTAAAGCTACTAATAATTATAATCTCTAAAGATAGTATCTATCTTAAGTCTAAAGATAATAATATTAATTAAATAATAAAGTCTAAGAGGCTTTAATAAGAGTAAAGGAAAATCCCTTAATAAGTTTTAATTAGAATTAGCTTTAATCTATATCTCTATCTACTATAGTAATAGTTCTTTTAAGTATCTATAGTAATATAGTTCTATTTAAGGCTTAAGAGAGATAAGGATCTAATATATATAGCCTTTATTATATCTAGTACTTATTAAAAGATAAGAATAAGCTCCTAAAAAAAAGAGAGAGAGTATATATATTAAGGCTTAGTCTATCTTTATAATAGGTAGTTATATTTATAAATAGTAGACCTAAGAACTAGTAAAGTATATAAAACAGTTGATATAGATCGATAGCTATCTCTAGGGGATAGGGATAGGTAAACTCCGGGTGTGCTTAGGGTTTTCTTAGAGCCCCGCTTCTTCGCCCGTTCTCTAAGAGCCTTTCGTTCCTCAAGGCATTGGGTGTAGCCAGAAGAGATTGAATTAAAGCTGCTTCTCCTATCTAAGGAATGACGAAGGTCGGTCTCTTATACTTGTATTTATCCTGCCGATCTTCTAGGCAGCAGGCTGTTGCCTGCGATCTGGCGTTCACGCTGACCGTGAAGCCATTCACGATGGTCGTGATCTTTGTTCTACTTCTAACATAAGGTTAGTCCTCCCGGGCGGAATAAATTTCATTCATTCATTCATTGAGCCCCTAAGATAAGATCGATCAACCAACCATCAGAAAATCCTCAGGCCTTGTGGATTTCGGTGGCTTGCTGAACACCAGTCAACTGCTCCAGACGCTGGAAATGCTTGAACTGATGGGGGTAGTCTTTCTCGAGGTCGTATCCGCAGTCAAGGGCCCAGCGTCCAAAGATATATAGGTAGAAGTCCACAATCGTCAAGCGGTCTCCAAAGGGGAATACCTTGCCCTTGAGACGAAGCTCAAGATGCGTGAAACACTCCTCAACCCCTTTCTTTCCCTTTCGTACAACAGACTCGTGGAAATCGGGGTTGTCGACGTAACGACGTGGGCGGTAGATCATGGCAAACGCACCATGAACAGTGTCGGAGAAATAGACCAGCCACTCCGTGAGCCGGGCCTGCTCTATATCTCCTTGGGCCACCAATGACTGGCCCTTAGCGAGTGATCCGATATAAACGAGGATTGCAGCAAGCTCGGTGATGACGTCGTTCCCAACACGAAGTGCGGGGACGTAGCCTTGCGGGTGGATCTTCTTGTACTCGGTATTTGACATGCTCCCGTTGGCACTGGAGAAGCCGTTGCCGCTATCTTTCATTTCGACGAACTTGACGGGAAGTCCCAAGTGCAGGATGAGGGACTGCGGGACAAAGGCGCAAGTGCCCTTGGCGTAATAGAGAGTAAGGTCGGACATTATGGTGAAGGAGGTAATGATAAATCTGGTTTGAGAGTGTTTTTAGGCGGCGTTGTGGTGATGCAACATCCACCTTTATACGTAGGCTTGGATAGCTATTGTGGGCCTTGGTGTACAATGTATGAATGGTACAGTTATCAGGAGTTGTGAATCGCCTCGTTTTACCCCCTCACGAGTGTATCAATTTGAGTCACGAAAATCGGTATGATCTACATCCCCGTTGCCGTCACGGGCAACCCGAAGCTCCTGGCTAGCTTGGTACATGACGGTGGCGGTATTTATGTGCAGCTATGCAATTGAGACAGTCAATTCTTATATCCCCCGCTAGAATTGGTGCCAAATTGAGCAAAGCACATCCTCTCATTTATTTACGCCGAAAACCTGATGACAGGGATCTCTCAGATTGCTGACCCTGATCAGGGCCTAAATGAAGCTCTCGAAAGAAAGGGGTAACTCCTCAACGCTGTCACAAGATGCACAAGGGAAAGTCCAGGTAGTGGTAAAAGGATTCGCGATGGTTACGAAGGGTCCCGCCTCGCATCCCTTCCTAGTTGGGTAGGAGGCTGATTTGCTAATTAACGTTGGTGCGTGAGGGGTTATTGATAAAGCCGTACTATCATGGTGGCAGCTTCGGATCATGTTATTATAACCGGCCAAAGAAACACTGTCTGCTATTCTAGGTGGTCTCTCTATTTACGGAAGCTCCGGCCTCACCTTTCTTCCCCAACCCTGCCGAGACAGGCACAGCATCAGCTGATGTATACCTATAAGATATATAAGATAGTAACTACCGACTTATCATTAGCCCCAAGATCTCACTCAACTAACCCGTTCCACCCGGCGTGGGGTTCAGCGTTGTGCCACTTTGCTACGACGGTGTTGCCTAATCGGGACACAAGCCGAGTGGCGTCTTGGACGGAACCGACAGCCCCAAGATAACTCGGCCGGTCCGTCGCTGGACTCACACCAGATACAGCGGCAGCCTGGTCTCCTCGATGACAGGGCTTCCCCGCTCTGTGGGTATTACCCCGGTATTACCAATCTTGGGGAATGCTCGTTCGGTCCAGGGGCTGAAGCTGGTAGGTCGAAACCAGGGCAAAATAGGTAGGTGGCTAACTGCTGTACAAATCGACTAAAGAGAGTTGGGTCTTCTATCTAGAACAGGCAGGCGCTAGATTGAGACTTTTGTAAATGTGGTCACTAATACGAGGGATTCTACGCTTGAAATAGGTAGGTTGAAGTAAATAGCTGTGGCTATTCCCGCCTCTTCAAGCGAAGTTGAGTTGAGGTCTGTAAACATTGTAGCTAAGCACTGTGACTAAGTTAATGATAAGAGGCTTAGCTTGCTTTGGTCGGACCCCAACTTGCAAGGAAGAGCCTGCACGAGGGCTAGCAGCATTCTACAAGCAGCTCTTAACTGCCTGATGGGAAGGACACAGCAGCTAGTATAGACTTTAAATTATAATGTAGGATATATACTGGACTGAGAATGAGTTAAAGCAAGATGTTGGAATAAGCTGATGGTCATCGATTGCTACAATTGGTCCATGTTGCGTCAAGCCATTAAACCCCCTGTTACCTCCACCAGCAACTCCTTCCTAATTGGGACCGGGTGCGAGGCTACAAGGATGTAAATTTAGCGGCTGCAGCTGATTGGATATGGCTTTCGCGGATGGACAAATCTTAGCACGACTGTCACGATAGGCTCCTGAGCGTCTCTCGTCTCTAGGGAGCGCCAATGGGTGTTTGTTGTTATAGCTTTTTTAGTTTGTTCTGATCTTAATAAGGCTTCTCCTAGTCTTCAATTAACTACTTTTTCTTATTGATAGAAGGGCATTATGCCTGCGCACAAGCGAAAATTATCCCTTAACCCCAAGCCTTTACCCCATTATCTTCAATTATTAAGTTGGTCGAGAAAAATCCATTACGCTATTAATAGCGAAAGCAATAGCAAGAAGAACCACTAACAGGCCTTAAGTAATTCTTAGACTAGATTAAGGTATGGTTAGTAAAACGCTAATACGGATAAATCAGGAGATAAGTATATCGATAAGTCCGAGGAGAATAACAATAAAGATGAAGATAATAAAAACGACCAAGACGATAATAATAATAACTTAACAAAAGATATACTTAAAAACTATAAATTAGACAGAGAGACTAACAAAGATAAGCTGCTGAGATTAACTATTATCCCCCTTAAGTAAATAAGAGATACCAGTGATATTAAATATATTAATTTTAGGATTTATCTAAATAGTCTATTATTCTTAGTAGATTTAAAGGAAAATAATAATAGAGTATAGCTAAAAGGTAATAAAGATATTATAGACTATTAGATTAGGGTGCTAATACTCTAGAGCCTATAATAAGAAGTTCTATTAAGTATTTAAGAACTAGGAGATATTTATAGAGTATATAATATCTTTAGTTATATCTATTAATAATACTATACTTAAGCTTCCTACTAATAATATTATATTTTATATCTATAGAGATTTATATTTTAGCTTTAATAAGAAGCTATATAAGGTAGTAATTATAACTCTTTTTTATAGTAATTCTATAAGGCTTAAGGTTTTAAATATACTTTTTAGCTATATAGTTTTATATAGGATAAAAAGGGATATATATTAAGTACTGGTGGAATTTTCCAACCAATAATACCACAACCAAAGACCGGGTAGGTCCGCGGCCGCGATATCGACATCAGTCAAATATTATAAATTATATTATTATATATTGAAATTATATAGACTACCCTACTTTTCCAACTAATTACTAGTAGATTATCAGGATCTTATAATAATCCTAATAATCTAGAATAATAGATTATTACTAAGCCTTAATAATCCCCTAGTATATATACTTTACTAAATAGAATACTCTCTTAGATAGTTATTAATATAATTATCTATATATCTATTATTACTAGTTCTATAATACTTATATATTAATAGTAACTTATATTATACAGTCTAAGATAATCTGATTATACTACTTAGAATAATACTCTGATTAGTTTAACCCTGATCTACCCTAGACCCTATTTAGTATAAGTTATCTAACTATTATATATTAATAACTCTTATTCAGCTAATTATCTTATCTTAATTACTATATAATAATAAAGAAGATATTATAGTTATTATAGTTCCTCTAGCCTAATAGTAAAACCCTATTACTAATAACCTACCTACTCTGAATAATAATAATACTATAGATAAAGATAGTAGTAATAATAGTAGTAATAGGAATAATAATATTAAGCTTAAGCTCCTATAAGCCTAGGTCCTCTAGCTTTAGAAATATCTTATAACTATATAATAAGAGATAGCTACTACTATTACCCTTATAGAGCAGTAAGCTGCTCAGAATACTAATCTTTAGGCTCAGACTCAGGCTATAACCTAGGGAAGGGAGCTAGGAGTACTATTTAAGCTATTACTATTCGAAATATTTAATAGAACCTAAAATAAGCTCTAAAACTTTATAATCTAACTCTAAGTATATTTTAACTATTTCCTTATTACTCTTAATAGTAATAAATAATAAATTACCTATATCTATTTATAACTTAAGAGAGCTATACTTAATTAGTTTAAACTTATTATAAGGGAATATCTTAATAGTTAAGAAAGCTAGTAAACTATTAATATTATAATAAGTTTTAACTACTTTATAGAGACTCTCTAATAGATCTTTAGAATCTAAGATAAAAGATATAAAGTAGAATATAAAATTAATAAACTCTCTTAAACTAAACCTACCTCTATCTTTAGTAGTAAGTACCTCTAGCTTTTAGTAAAAACTAAATAAGACTAGGAATATACTATATCTTACTACTTTAAGAAACTAAAGGAAGAAGTCCAGAAGGAACTCTATAAGGAAGATAGACCAGTAAGTATCTATAAATATATAACTATAACTATAAGAATTAATAACTAATAATACTATTAATAGACTTATAGTAAAAAGATAACTTATTATATTAATACTAGTTAACTATAATTATAATAATAACCTATAGTCTCTAGAATATATATAGACCCTATAGAACTAGGAACTATAGAAAAATATAAATATTATAACTATAATAAGATTAGATATATTTTACTATAATATCCTAAACTAAAAAAGCAGAAGAATTAGAAACCTACTAAGGAAAATAAGAAATAGCTAGGAGTAACTAGAAAAACTAAGATTAAAATACTTAGAATAGTTAGAAAAGCTACTTAGGAAGGGAACTATATAGCTACTATAATTCCTATATTTTCTAAGAAACCTATATTATACTTCTATAAGATACTAGAAACTAGTAAAATATTAATAGTATTAGAAGGAAACTGCTAATATATTATAGATATTCTCTAAGAACTTAAATAAAAATATAAGGATAGAAGGAATATTATAGACCTCAGATCTCTTACTAAATATAAGTATATATTTTACTATATTAACAGATTTATTAAATATACCCCTGAAAAATAGGAATAATATATATTTACTAGAGATAAGATTAAAGCTGAATATAATAAACTCTATATCTACTATTAATAGAAGATATAGATATAAGATCTGAATAAGATATCTAGAATAGTACTATATAGAAAAGATACTATAGATACTATATACTACCCTAGTAATAGATATAAAAACCTAATCTATATAAAACCCAGTAAAGAATATAACTATAAGCTAGAATCTTAGATAATATACTATAATATATAGTATACTATATACTAATAAGAAAAAGTAGTAAATAACTTCTTTCTATTTCTAGACAGAAGAATATCTATAAAATATACTATAGTATAAATATAATAGTTTACTAACTAATACTATAGAACAGGATCTTATACTATCTTTAAGATAAACCTATAGAAATACCCTACTGAGTATATAAGTAAAGAACTATTAGTAGAATTTTACTAAGAATAGGAATATAAGATTTATAAAAATAATAAGATTAAACTATAGTATAACTACTAATAGGCAGA